TATTCACGTCGGCCACGGAGAAGGAGATGCCACAGTCCTTGGTAGTGGGCCTCGTCAGTGGCACTGTGTTATCCTCAAAGCGGGCGAAGAAGGAGATTAGCTTGTCTGGAAGCGAGACGTCGGTGTCGGCGACGTGGCTGGTTTTCTTTTTGTAGTCCGTGATTGTCTGTAGACTCTGCCACATACGTCTCGTGTCTGAGCCGTTGAATTGCGACTCCACTTTGTCTCTATACTGATGTTTTGCCAGTTTAATTGCCTTGCGGAGTGAGTAGCTACACTGTTTATATTCTGCCATATTCCCAGTCACCTTGCCATGGTTGAATGCGGTGGTTCGCGCTTTTAGATTTGCGCGAATGCTGCTGTCTATCCACGGTTTCTGGTTAGGGTAGGTTACTACTTTATGGCCCTACGTCTTCATCTAGCTAGCCACACACACACACACACACACACACACACACACACACACACACACACACACTGTGATGATGTGATCTGTGATGTAAAGTTTCATTGTACATCAACAGATGGCTTGAGGGATGCAAGTGAGAGGGAGTGGAAATGTCATTAGTGCAGGATAATCTAACTTTCCTCTCCTATTTTCAATACAATAAACCTTCTCTTCATGTACACTGACAATACTGCCATTTATAAAAGGCTTGAATCGAGACCGTTTATTCAAACACGGCAAATTGATTTTTGTCTGAGCTGTATACAAATGTTTATTCTGCCAGAATTGACAAGCAGAAAGAACCTTTATGCAAGGTTGTTTTCCATATCACTGTTCTTCAGACATTGCTTTGAGGGCTTCATTGACGCTTCAGAGTTAGCTGCTTGCTAGCTACTAGTGCTAGCTAGTTCCCAACACAAGTAAGCTGCAGCTTTGGCCATCATGAGGGAAATTGATTGAATATGGAGTCCCTCTTGTCTAATACACACAAACTGTATCATACCAGCCCATTGACGTAAATCTTCAGAATTGTTTTTTAAGGTACAGTATAAGTGACCAACAGATGCATATCTGTATTCCCAGTCATGTGAAATCCATAGATTAGGGCCTAATGAATGTATTTCAATTGACTGATTTCCTTATATGACCTGTAACTCAGTAAAATCTTTGAAATTGTTGCATGTTGCGTTTATATTTTTGTTCAGTGTAGATACAGACCGATCCAATACAGAAAATCTACTGATTCTATACAGACTCTAGGTCAATTGGAGCAGGAAATGTTACTACAGTATGTCCCAATGATATGCTATCGACAAACATCACAAACTAACACACCTGGACAGAACCATCGGCCAGGTAAAGATGGAGTGTCCCATTTTAAGTACTGTTTTTTTTCTGCACCTTTGAAATGTCACCTTGACTTGAGCTCAATGACTGACAGGTCTTCTTCCTCTTCTCTTCTCTGCAGGGGATAATGAAGATCAGAGGGGACCGCTGCTGGAGGGACCTGACGTGCATGTGTGCGTGACGTTCTTGAGTCTGTATGCGTGTGTTTGTGTGGGCTCAGTGCAATACAGTTACCACAATGCTTGTGGGCAGTGCTTGTCGTTGGCATCCTGTCATCAGGGCTTTCCCCTGGCCTGTCCTGTGCTGGGTCATGCTGAGAGATCAGGCCAAGGCAGATGATCCTTATCAATCGCATGCCGTCCCTAACTGGATTGAACTAGTCCCTCCCATAGCTCAGTTGGTAGAGCATGGCGCTTGCAACGCCAGGGTTGTGAGTTCGATTCCCACGGGGGGCCAGTATGACTTAGTCCTGGCTAGGAAATATTGGTTCTGTTTACTTAGTGGGTGCCAAGATATTTCTTAAATCATATGATGGGAAACTGTATTGGGAACCACTGTCTGCCTCAGGGTTTGAATAAATCATCCCTATAGGAGGGGACACCACAATGCTGTGTCATCTCTAGACTAACCCACACAGCTTGGAGTATCTTGTCTAATGACAGAGACCAGGAATACACTATATGTCTCTCTGGAGACTGAATGCTCTGGCTGACTGTGGCTTTTTATTGCCTTGGAAAAAGTCCCTGAACGGTTGGTCTACTGTAGTTGGACTCTACTGATTCATACATACTGTACTGACGTGCAGTATAGGATCAGCTTCCCCTCACCAAATACTAACCTTAACCATCAAGGGGAGGACACATTAAGCTGACATTGGATCAGTGTCTAGGGGAAACTTCATCCTACTCCACTCTAACAAACTACAAAGATTTTTCAGAGACTAAATATTGACACTAAGAACCTCACTACCTTGGACAGTAACTTGTATAGTACAGTAGGTTCACTTCACTGCACTATACAGGTTTTGGCATATGACAAACACATGCTCAGTCTGTTAGCCCTGGCCTTCAGTACTCCGCTTTGGTCTGTTCGCCTGCTGGGTGGATTACCCATTAAATGGGAAACATGTTTATTTTCTTTGGTCATGACTCCCTCATTGTTATTGCTTTATGACCGCTGTTTTAAGAAGCTGCTGTAGCAAGTTATAGACCATAGAGTCATGATATAAGGTACAGACCAGCTGAACTGCTACAGTTGATTTGAGTTAACTTTGTGGTCAATGGCCTAATTTGCTGTCCTATAAGGGGGACAGAAAGGGTGGGTGAAACATTGAACATACACTAAAGTGTCATGGATAAATTTAAGCATGATGACTAACTGGTCTAGCATGGTTTCTAATTTGTGGGCTTGATTTTCTGGTTTATGTTCCTATCTGTCATGTAAAGTTCCCCATACTTATTTGTAGGTTAGTGATTGTTTTTGAGTGTTTGTTCATATGTTTTTTAAGTGGGTAAGTGTGTCTATGTACATTTGCGTTACTGCTCTACCCTATTTGTCATAATAGTCCATGACCCAGACCCCCAAATTTGGGCCGTCGGGCTCACTTGGGGTAACGATGTCTCATAGTGATTTTTTGGAAGGTCTATGTCCCTAGAGTTGGAAAATGTGTGATAGCAGTGCATCATTTGGAGCTTTCTCCGGTTATCACTCTCTTTCATCCCTGCACCCACCCTTACTCCAGGCTGATTCTGTCATGGGGTTCCCTAGGTGTGAGGTGTGGAGGGATGCCTGACACCTCATAATACCCCCTTACCAGCCCCCTCTCTGAGCCTTGTTAACTCAAAGGAACCTCTGTCTGTGGAGAGAGTCTGATGTCGTGGACAAACAGGGGTCTCATTCAGGCCCATTGAGCCCCTGGGGCGAGCCCCCTGTTATAGATTTATCAGCCTACATTATGTAAACTTTGTCAGGGCTTCACTTGGAGGCTTATGGGTTTCTGGCAATAATGGTCAGCCAAGTGAACCTGTATGGATCAGAGAAATGAACGCCTTGTAGAATTTTACAAAAAGTGTTCAAAAAAGAAAGGAAACATTCCAATAGTATTTGTGTTTTAACCTGGATTTCCATGTTGTTTAACCTGGGATTATGGAAAAGCATATATGGGAGCCTGAGGACTCCGTACCTCCATGCAGGCAGTCAGGCCCATATCCCCATCTAAACATTGACCTGCCAGCTCCAAGCTTGTCAACACCCCCAGGGGTAAAGCAGATTTACATTTCAACCCCCCCTACCACCCACCTAACACCCCCACCCCCTCCTAGCGGAAGCCACAGGCGCCAGGTAAGGTCTGCCTGCCCCCTCTGGACTCTGACACACTGCTCCCTTTCAGCCTCCAAACTCACGGCAGGGCCACCCAGCGCAATGCACCCTGGATAGGAAGACTGCTGAGGCTATAAGAGGCTGGCTGAGTGGGTTGTGGGTGGTGTTTTGTTTTTGTTGGTTTGTTTGCTGTGTGCACACTGGGGTATGTTTGGTTATCTGAAGTTGCAGGCTAGGTAAACTAGGCTGTCTGGAGGTGTGGTGGAACACATACGCAAATGCACACACTCCAGCCCTGTCTGGCCCTGCACTGAAACAGCCCTCTCAGGACATTTCTAAAAAAGGCACCAAACTTACTTAGCCCTGGAAACCATCTTGAAGGTGTGGCGTTATAATAATATACCATGATGTTTCCCCACACCAATCTGTCCCATGATTTTATGCCAAAACAATGAGGGACAGAACAACTTTTGAGCTATTTTACATTTATGATCAGATACATTTCATGCAGTTTGGCATTTATTGTCATGAGGTCTGCAGAGGTCTGCAGAGTGGTCACTGATGTTAAACTTAACCCTAACCTTAACCCTAACCTTAACCACACTACTAACCCTAATTCCTAACCTTAAATTAAGACCAAAAAGCACATTTTTGTTTTCATGAATTTGTACAATATAGCACATTTTTACATTGCAGCTGGCACATTTAGCGGAAATCACTCAATTCTGCCACCAAGACAAGATTCATGACAATAAACGTCAACCTGCATTTGTCACAAGGTGCCATTTGGGCAATCATTGTAGCCTGTGGAAAAGCTGTTAGGGATGTTAAATTATACAATATGCATCACCATGCATCACCATTGGAGTGACACCAGGTAATTCCATGCAAACATACAGGTAATTCGGTGTTATCTGTGATGTTCTGCACTTTCATCAGCAAAAACACACACCTTAACACTCACATGTATACTATGGTAATAGCCTATCACTCTATCCCTCTGTCATTGCTCATATTTGAGTATCGATATGGAGGCAAATTGCTTTTTCCTTGACCTGGAAGTAGTCATGTTGTAACCTCTGTGACCCATGCGGTTGTGCACTCCCTGGGGTGTCAATCTGTGGTCCTCTTTGGCTCATCCCAGTTCCGTGGTTGAGACTGGAAGGATGTGGTGGGTTAGATAGACCCTCTCTTCAGGCCCCAAAATAAGGAGTGACGTTACTGACTCCCCGCTCCCCTCTGTAATGTCATCTCTGGAGATGTTCTGGAGAGTACTGTTGCTAACCACACGGTGCCATTCTGTGGTGTGTTTGTGTGTGTGTGTGTGTGTGTGTGTGGGGGGGGGGGTGATATCATTTTGATTCTCTTTCTCCCACCCTCCCTCCAGACTCAGCCGGTGCCAAACCCCATGTTGTACTATATGCACCAATCCCCATGGTGGTTCCATCGCTTTGAGGTTCTGTCCAATTACTTCATCGGGCTCATCGTCCTTCTCTTCACCTTCCTGGAGAGACTCATGTGCATGGTCAACGGGACGCTGCAGATAGTGTTCCAGGTGAGTTGACAGTAAAACTGATTTGAGGTCAGTTTTGTTTTTCCCTATCGTGGTTGAGACTAGGATTTTGGAAGGGTAATTTATCCTAGATCTGTGCCAAAAATGTCTACCTCGAGTGGCTCTGACGTCACATTGCCACCTAGTGGATCCATTGGGGCACTACAGTGGTTTTATGGCAACTGCAGTCTTCAGTTTAATAAATCAGTCATCAGTTAGATGAATGTGGTGTTATTCATGAGCCAACTATAAATACATGAATACAGGAAATCAGGACTTTCTCTGCTGCTATGATGAACTATTACAAAGCAGATGATCCTCATCAATCATCATGCTATCTTTCTGGCAGTACCTTTGGAGGAATCTTATCACTCCTTCTTGTCTTTTCTCCCCATCTACCCTCTGTGTCTCCTCCTCAACCCTCTGTCTCACCTCATCTACCCTCTCCTCCCCCTTCTAGGTGACTCTGATAGTGAGTGGGAACCTAAGCTTTCTCAACTGGCTGACCATAGTTCCCAGTCTGTTTTGACGATCGATCTCTGGGGTTCCTGTTTTCATCTGGCCAAGGGGCCAAGCAAGCCGTACTGCACCTCCAAGCTGAGGAGGCTGTAGGACAGACCACCAAACCCACCAAAGGTACCTCCTAAACAGCCATGAAATCTCCTGAATGAGCCTAACCTCTTACCCATCAGTGGTAGAGCCCGCACCATAGAAATATAATGATCTATTATATTTATCTAATTCCCTCACAACCCAAACCACTCTTTGCCTCAGCCCAGACACATCTTTACAAAGAAAGAAATCAATACGGACAGGGTTAAGGTATTGTGGGGATTATCCTGTAATTCTGGCTGTTAGTGTTACAGCAGCCCTGCTATCCTGTCTGGGTGTTTTATGATTGGGACTAATGATGGCAGGCAGAGAGAGGGATAGGTGGTATTAGACCAGCATTCCACCTGGCTCAACTGAGTTGGCCTGACTGATGTCTCTACCAGCCGTGCTGTGTGTGTCTGCGTGCGTGCGTGCATGTTTGTGTGTGTATGGACTCCCCCTCCCCACATGCCTGGCTTAGCTGTGTGTTTGAGTTTACAACCCCTAAGAGTGGGCAATGAGTGGGTCCACATGGGCACCCTTCCCCTCTCCACCCTCTCCACTCCCGAGCATCTCCACTCCCCATCTCCAACACTCACACCTGGCTGTAGGCACATCTGGAGCAGGCTAGCAGGCTATTGGGCCTTGACAGATGGTAGACACTCAGCACCAGACATTACCGATGTGCCTGACAGTTGGCCCAGAAACATAAAGGAAGGAGTTAACGATTTGGACATGATGGGAGGAGTATGGATTAGTGCTGGGACAGCTGAAGAGAGGGAGGAGGGAATGGAACGAAGAGAGAGAGCTGCCTCCTCAGCCTTAGGACCACAACATCCAATCAGAATAAACCAAATTACAACACAGTCAAAACAAAACTACATTACTTATTGGGAAACACAAGCAAAATGCTGTGCTATCTGGCCTTAAATTGACAGTACACCGTGGCAAACTATTTGACCATGGTTACTGATCAAAACCTTTAGAAAAACCTTGACAAAGTACAGGCTCAGTGAGCACAGCCTTGCCATTGAGAAGGGTAGACACAGGAAAACCTGAGTCCCTGTAGAGGAAAGGCTGTGCAACCACTACACCACAGCAGAACCCGAGACAGAGCTGCATTTCCTGACAAAATGTAAAAAATATAAAACAATTAGTGTAATTTCCCCAAATATGAAACCCTTATTCAAGGTTTCAAAGACCTCTCTGATGAGGATAGGCTACCTGTCCTGTTGGGGGAGGACGCAGAGAGCTGTGGGTTGGCTGCGCACTACATTGCTGCCTGCCATAAGATGAGGGACAGTGTCTGACAGACCAACCAAACTGCACATGTCCTCTATGCTTATTGTTATTGTTCAATGTATGGTTATTTTGACCCTTGGTTATTGTTGTTACTGTTCTCCCGTTGAGAATATTGTTTATTATTATTAATTATGTTAATATTGTACATCTCCAAAGTAAGCTTTGGCAATATGTACATTGTTACGTCCTGCCAATAAAGCAAATTGAATTGAATTGACAGCTTGAGATGGTGTGGAAGAGAGTGAAGAGAGAGAGTGTACATGCACAGGTAACTGCCAAAATAAAGGAAACACCAACATGAAGTGTCTTAATAGGGCATTGGGCCACCACGAGCTGCCAGAACAGCTTCAATGGCCTTGGCGTACTATGCATTCTACAAGTGTCTGGATCTCTATTGGAGGGATGGGACATAATTCTTCCACATTTATACATTACTCTAAACACTTCAGCTCTACTATTCGCGCCGCTTTGCTTTTCCATCAGCTTCCTGTCAATGTGACGTTCTACCTGCTACACAGAGCGCGTTGTTTTGAGAGCGGAGAGGAGCACGGGGGAAGTGCATGTTTATTCTATTTTCCCAGACTGTACTGTACCATATTCATCGATTATGCGTTAGTACAATAGCTTTGGTCCAGTTTTTCGCAAGTACTCATTAAATTGTTGCTAGTGGTTGTACTAAATGATCCTCAAATTACACAAGTTGTTTTTGTTTACATTGAGAACATAGTCAAAGCTAGCTAGGTAGCTAGCTAGAGTTTCTGCTATCTAGTAGCTTATTGACTTCATAAATCTTAGTACAATAACCAGTGGTGTATAGTCGAGGCCATATGCAACCAAAATCAACTTTATTTCTCATTATTTCAATTCACAAGATAGAATGAACGCGCGCGTCAGCCACCGACAATTGAAACGACTCTCCCGAGTGGCGCAGTGGTCTAAGGCACTGCATCGCAGTGCTAGCTGTGCCACTAGAGATCCTGGTTCGTGTCCAGGCTCTGTCGCAGCCGGCCGCGACCGGGAGACCCATGGGCGGCGCACAATTGGTCCAGCGTCGTCCAAGGTAGGGGAGGGTTTGGCCGGCAGGGATGTGGGTTCGTTTCCCACGGGGGGCCAGTATTATTTTTTTTATAACATGTATGCATTCACTAACTGTAAGTAGCTCTGGATAAGAGCGTCTGCTAAATGACTAAAAATTTAAAATGTAAATTATTCTTGAGCGTGGACGCTGCCATTGGACGTGACGCAACGCGAGCGCAAAACGGGCAGTATAGCAGTTTTCATTGATTTCAAATGAAGCATTTCCTCAATGGCTGGCAAGGTCTTCTTCTTCGATGAGGTTTAACGGCGGTTGGCATCCAATAAATGTTGCATTACCGCCACCTACTAGACTGGAGTACAACTCCCTTATACTTTGCTTGAAAAAATAACAAAATACCCTACCCATCTAACACTACACTCACAAAAAATATAATAATAATAATAATAATAATAAAATAACACCACCCTACTCCACTATTTAAATCTATTTAGTCCTACCTCAGGCCAACAAACTTTAAGCATCAGTTGTCAGAGCAGCTTACCGATCACTGTACACAGCCCATCTGTAATTAGCCCACCCAACTACCTCATATTGTTATTTACATTGTTATTTATTTTGCTCATTTGCACCCCAGTATCTCTATTTGCACATCATCTTCTGCACATCTATCACTCCAGTGTTAATACTAAATTGTAATTATTTTGCACTATGGCCTATTTATTGCCTTACCTCCATAACTTACTACATTTGCACACACTGTATATAGATTTTCTATTGTGTTATTGACTGTACGTTTTGTTCATTCATTTAACATTTACGTCATTTAGCAGACGCTCTTATCCAGACCGACTTACAGGAGCAATTAGGGTTAAGTGTCTTGCTCAAGGGCACATCGACAGATTTTTCACCTAGTCCGTTCAGGGATTAGAACCAGCAACCTTTCGGTTACTGGCACAACGCTCCTAACCACTAAGCTACCTGCCGACCTAGCTTGCGATTATGGAAATCGAATTCAACAATGCCAATAATGTTTTCAATTGGACTTTTGCTTTCAATGCAGCTCAAACATAGAACATGTAAGGATGAACTATAGCCATTGAATTCTACTGTGCTGATATACTGTGCGTTATAAGGAAATAATGCACGCTCTAGAATGCCCTTTAAGCCAATCAGAAACAAGTTTAATAATGCCATGGTATAAGTGTGATTATTAGGCCTACTGACGGTCGATACTGATAGTGGCTAATATTTAACATGATAGAAATAGGAAACAGAGAAAGTAGGGGTAGCCTATAATTAAGACATTCGAGAGTGCCCATCCCTGCAAGTTAAAAGGCCGTACAAATTTACATTTTGCATAATGGCACAGCATTTCATAAACTTTACTGTGGGAAATTTGTATCTGCTTCAGTTTGCTGCCATATTCATGGTTTCCTTACGCGTAAAGGCGGTGGAATTATTAGGGGATTAAGGTCAAGGTCAGAGAGAAAGGTACATGAAAAGGGAATTACGTTCCATTTACGCATGCTTAACTCGGTCGGAATCAGCCCCCATGTGAGAGCTGAATGGATGGGGATGATGTAGAAACCAGTCAAACGACTGACCATAAGTCAGGTCAGTATATGGTGACAGACAGGAGTTCCTCTGGAGCCTGGGGTGGTTGGTTGGGTCCCAGAAGTGTGGTGGTGGTCTGGTGAGTAAAAAAGTCCCAAGGTAGAAACTGCAGTCTTAAACATGTGCCATACCTTAAAATGTTGGAGAGGAAAATACCCTCACACTCATCAATATGATGAGCAGCCAAGTCCCTAACCAAAAAAACTGGTACGGTTTTAACATGGATAGGTTGACGGGTTGGCATCTCAATCCGAGACAGCTAGTGGGGATTTGAGCTGTCTACTCCTCCAGTTGTCTGTGACGAAATGCCCCATGACCTCATAGGCTAAGCCCCTATTTGGCTACTGCCAAAGGGATCTTGTGTTCCTAGACACACACACACACACAGACACAGACAGACAAACACACTTCTTACTTTTTCCATCTCATATCTAGGGCTGGGAATTGCCAGGGACCTCACGATACGATATTCTCACGATACTTCGGTGCCAATACAATATTTATAGCGATTCTCACAATTTGACATGTATTGCTATTCGATACTGTGATTATGTTGTGTTTCGATGCTCCAAGCATATTGCTCACCATATGTCTTCTGCAGAGGGACAAGAGAGAGCCATGAGAAAACAAGTTTTGATCAGCCATGAAAATAAAAGTACTGAAAACAAATGTACTCCCTATTTAAAAAGAAGATGGAGAACAAGCTATTAAGAAAATATACTGGAGTTTTGGTGCAGGTACAGCCAACTAGCTCAAAAATAATATTGTGACATTGTGAAAACGATACCCCTCCCCCCCAGCACCTACTTATGTCCTTCTAGGTATGCTCATTCGTCGGGTGGTGAATGTGGCTCTGGGCGTTCCGATTGGCTATCTAAGTGTTCCTGTTGTACTGAACTTGCTGGCTCCAGACAGGTGATGAACACATCCTTCGACCCACTCCGCATCGTCAACAACCTCCTTCATCCTCCTTTTCCTTTCTCTCCATCTCTCCTCTTGGATCAGTCCTCTTCATAACCCTATATCCAACATTCTGTTCTATTGTTCTCTACTCCTCTTCTTTGTAACGTTCTCTCTCTTTGACCCTCCCTCCCTCTGTGTGCATTATCACTAAGGAGCGGACTGAGGTGATACTGCAAGGTACTTTGAGCGAGGACCAGAAGGACCCAGATGCTGTGTGGGAGGACTACCAGTTCCTGTGTAAGCCAGGGGACCTGACCCGACTGCCCTGCCTTATCTTCCCCTACCACTACAGACTCGACTGGCTCATGTGGTTCGCCTGAGTGAGTCTGGCACTTAGCAGACCTTTAGAGTACACAGCTCTAACTTGACATGCAAGAATCAGGAATTCTGTTTCTTTTATTTACTGTTAGTTGGTTTTGTGGGAAATTCATGCCTTGGATTTGTGTGTTCCCCATCCCTGTCCAAAATGCCACCATAAAGATGGCAGAATTCAGATATGATGTCATTGTTCTAGCCCTGAGTTTGTCAACTACGGCACGCGACATGGTTCAATGTGCCAATAAATCAGTACAATCTACATTTTAGGTTTTTCAAATTGCCGGCGCCTTGCAGCTAAAATTAGAATCATGACGTATACTGTGCTACTGACCATACAAAAAATTGTAACTGAGAGCAATGCACAATACGCGGAACTTAGCAAAACAAGGAATTTGTGGTAAGTGCAGGGGGCCACAATCTTTCTGCACCTCCGCTATTGCCAACAAGTGGAGATAAACAGGGCTGGAAGATACTTACAGCAAATAGACACTAGTCTCCCTCTAATTTTAGTTCAGCCCATTTATGTACTGTATTTCCCTTATAAAATACTATTGAGTGCCTCATTGGCTAACTCTGCTTCCCCATAGTCTCAGTCTGGACCCAGACCTACCTGCTCTGAGTCATTTCCTCTGTCAGGGCTAGCAGCCCACGCTATTCTCAACGCTGTTAAACCTGCTTGCTACTATCAGCTATCTCAGGTGTAGTTCTGGCCAGAGACTTGATCGTGTGGCACGCTGTTTTTAATGTTCCCTTCTCAGGGCATAGGGTTTCCTGCTGTTTTAATCCAATCCTAGAACCAAGAAAATCCCAGTCAGACATTTTGGCAAGAGGGGGAAGGTTTATGATGTCACACATCAGCTCAATATTCGCCTAATAGTTTGGAGGAGTAGACTGCTTTGGATTGAGTTATTTTAAGTGACAATTGATTTTACACTCACCTTTTCCACCCCTTTTCTCAAAATTGTCCTCCCTCTTTCTCTATCTGTCCCTCTGTTCTGCCCTGTAGCTCAGTTGGTAGAGCACGGCGCTTAAAACGCCAGGGTTGTGGGTTCGTTTCCCACGGGGGGCCAGTATGAAAATGTATGCACTCACTAACTGTAAGTCGCTCTTGATAAGCCGTTTGATACGACGCGTGTGTTTCTGTGGTAGGCACATTTCATATAAAAATGGCCAGCTGTTGCCGTTGGAGACAGCTGCGTTGAAGGCCTAGCTGATCTCAGCTGGGCTGTGCTGAGGCAGAAGTTGGAAGTGGAAGGATGTGTGTGCGAGTGTCTGTGTTATAATACATACAAGCCTCATGTTCTCTTTGCAGAAACCCAAATGCCTTATCCTCTAGCCCCCTCTAGTGGAATGTTTCCTCTATATATGAAACGTGTCCTTGTATTCTCTCTGTCAGTCATACTAACCATTCCTCTCCCTCCTTTTATCCGGCTCCCTGCTTCCCCAGGTGGGTCCGAGGAGAACACTTCAAGTACAAGTTCAGCCCTCCTGGCAGTGCCGGTGCTGCCCGTGGAAAATGGTGGGTGAGGAAACGTATCGGAGCATTCTTCCCCGCTGTGGACCTGGCCGCACTCAGGGGTTACTTTAAGTCCCAGAACTGGCTCCATCCTGACCTTTGACCTACTGTATGACCAATCACACTGACGTATTCAATGAGCGATGGGTGCATGAGACACTGGGGTATCGCTCCTTGCTAATAATTCGGGATCAAATACGCTATGAAAGCATGATATTGGGGAATTCATGCCACTCTGTAAAAATTACATTTAATGGTATTCATCTGTTTTGCTTGTCTCCAGCATGTAATGTTACCATCTACTGTATGCAATAAAGAATGACCAATCCTTCCCATGAATAGGGATATGTCACTGTGCCAAAGATGTTCTGTTACAATAGGAGAGTTGAGGGGATGACACACCGTCCATGTTGGGCTCACATAGCAAGACAGTCAGACTGTACCATAATTGTGTGTCTTTTGATAATAAAAGGTACATTTTAGAACAAAGGAGACTTTCCATGTATTTTTGCCTTTCATTTTGTACGGCTAGCAGGTTGTCCATCAACTAACCTAGTGGTTTAAATCGTCCAATTTGAGATGTTGAGTCCTTCCCATTATATCCAATTACTAGAGTGCCATTGCAGTGTTGTATTACATACAAATTCCCCTAACTGTTGTGTGTCTTTGTGTTACGGGGATCTGATAGGATCCAATGAATAAATGCATAAAAAGGGTGAGGTAATTAAGGGAAGAAATGTATCTGGGATCTTGAAGTTGTGTGTGAACAGTCTACAGAGTAGTGATAACAGTAACGGATGACAACCCTGAGGAGACAATGCTCCCTCCAGTCCTTGCATCACGCAATGCACGTTTCTCCCAGCATTGCCAATTCTAATTGTGTTCACCTCATCACAAATACCTGAGCCACCTGCACTGTTTGTACAGATACACTATATATGACGGAAAACAGTATTAATGCCTACCTACAGTCAATAAATCTGCTGGTTTTGCTATTTATAGGCAAAAACAACATTTGTTGGCAGCGGTAGGATGTGACTGCACCTGTGTGCCAGAAGATGCACTGACCATTTATAAACCATTCTGTGATATTACCACTGTGAAAATATGTTACCACTGTGAAATGTGTTGTTTCCACTGTGAAAATAAGTTACCACTGTGAAATGTGTTGTTACTGCTGTGAAAATAAGTTACCACTGTGAAATGTGTTGTTACCACTGTGAAAATAAGTTACCACTGTGAAATGTGTTGTTACCACTGTGAAATGTGTTGTTACCACTGTGAAAATAAGTTACCACTGTGAAATGTGTTGTTACCACTGTGAAAAGAAGTTACCACTGTGAAATGTGTTGTTACCGCTGTGAAAATAAGTTACCACTGTGAAATGTGTTGTTACCACTGTGAAAATAAGTTACCACTGTGGAAAATGCCCTGTTTTTCTACCTAGTTGTGGAGGTGAGTGATAGTGTTGAACAGGCAGAAGTGAGCCATCCAGATGGACGTAACTCTAGATTGATGTGTGCAGGTCCAGACTGTGAGCATCTGCTGCCTCTAATGAGGACTAATAGCCATGCCAGTGGGAAAGGACAGCCTCATGTCCCTCACACAGTCCAAATAAGAAACACAAAGTACAAACACAAGTAAGTTACGAAACATTTTCTACTGTCTCAGCAGAAGAGTATATTAAAACTTAATTGTGCCAATGGGCAATTTGCATGTAAGAAGAGATTCAAATAAAATGATAATTGTCACATGCTTCGTAAACAACAGGTGTAGACTAACAGTGAAATCTTACTTACGGCCCCTTCCCAACAATGCAGAATACAAAAAAATATTATAATAGAAAAAAAAGTTACACAAGGAAAAAAATAATATATAATGAGCAATGATAGCTTGGCTATATACATGGGGTACTGGTGCCGAGTCGATGTGCAGGGGTACAAGGAAATTGAGGTTCGATATGTACATATTGGTAGGGGTAAAGTGACTAGGCAACAGGATATGTGGTGAGTGTGTAAGTGTGAGTGAGTGTGTGTTTGTGTTGGAGTGTCAGTGTAAGTTTGTGTGAGTGTGTGGATAGAGTCCAGTGTGTGTGCATAGAGTCAAAAAGAGTTAGTGCACATGGACTCACTAGTCACATACAAATTAATAGGACAGGTGAATAGCCTATATTAAAACTAACAGTGTAGTGGCCATAATACCCTAATGTTTCACAGGCATTATGCTATTCATATGACATGTTAAAATAACCATAGTAGCCTTTATTGTTATGGTAGATTGTGTAGGGATTTGGTGTCCCATCTTACCCAAACCCCCAGGACAAGCAATGCATTTCTACCTGTATGATTTGAACAGAACCTAAAGCTATAGCAAGTTTAAATTAAAAGATGACTGGAATAAATGTGTATCTGTCGGTCTATGTGAATCACTCATGAAGTGGATAGGCCACTTGTGGTTATATAAAGTACTTGATATTCATCACTAGGAATAAGCAGTAAGGACAGAACATTACATTCAAAATGTAATGTCCACTTGAAATAAAGAGGGGGCCTAATGAATCATGTTTGACTTTACTGTAAGTGGCGTGGGTTGTGTGCGATTAAACTACTTAACTTCTAGTCTGACACAGTGAAGTGTGAGTTCAAGAAGGCAACTGGCTGGGGAAATGCAACCATCCAGTTTTTCTTCAGCTTTACATAACCGTCTATAGAAGATATAGATATACACTGAGCATACAAAACATTTAGAACACCTTCACTTTCCATGACATAGACTGACTAGGTGAATCCAGGTAAAATCTATGATCCCTTATTGATGTTACTTGTTAAATCCACTTCAATCAGTATAGATGAAGCGGAGGAGACAGGTTAAAGAAGGATTTTTAAGCCTTGAGACAATTGATTGTGTATGTGTGCCATTCAGAGGGTGAATGGACAAGACAAAATACTTAAATGCCTTTGAACAGGGTATAGTAGTAGGTGCCAGGCACACTGGTTTGTGTCAAGAACTGCAACGCTGCTGGGTTTTTCCAAGCTCAAAAGTTTCCCATGTGTGGTCAAGAATGGTCCACCACCCAAAGGACATCCAGCCAACTTGACACAACTGTGTGAAGCATTAGAGTCAACATGGGCCAGCGTCCCTGTGGAACGCTTTCGACACCTTGTAGTTGTAGAGTCCATGCCCAGAATAATTGAGGGGGGTGAAACTCAATATTTCAACAAGTATTAGCTATGCTTCCCTGCTGCGCGCACTAAACACCATATTGTGCTTACCTTCCGTTATTGGTGTGAACCGTGCGCCATATAGGGGGAGGGTAGAGAGAGAGAGCGAGAGAGAAAGAGAGAGCTGTCAAGTCTGTTTACATTTCTGCATAAGCACTGTTTGAACTGGTAGGAGATTTATTCACCAATGGCAATTGCGCTCAACGGACAAGGAAGGCTATAAACTCGCATGTGCACTTACCATTTAAAACGACGCGGATATGTCTACAGTCATGATTTTTATGCACTGGTGAAACGTAATTTTTGTATTATCGTAGATTATCCAAAAGAACAAAGGATAGTGATATAGTGTCAGATCAGTGAACGCCATATTTATAGCCTAGTTATTGCACAAATAATTATATACAACAGGTAGGAATACCGTTAAAAGTGAACCATGTCCAGGAAAAAGACAATGAAAGGCAAGGGGAGCTCCAAAAGCCCGACTGCATCTCCGAACACGAGCAAAGACAGCGGGAAAAGTGGTAAAGGGATCGGAGGTCCATCCAACGGATTGGTCTATCCGAGCCGCCCCTCACTCAGCGACAGTAGGGAGTTTTATGATATCACTTTTAAGGTAAGACTTTTTACGCACACATATTGTCAATATTCTCCAATCTCCAGTTGGCCATATCAGTCACTCAAATAGAATACTTCAATGTTGATGTGACAGACAGTGCCGACTCAAGCCTTTTGGGGTCCCTACGCGAGATTTGGTTCTGTCCAGTGTAGATAGCTAGGCCTATAGGTATGAAAGACACATGATAAATATTGATTACATTATTTTATTTGATTATTTTCGGCATTGACCTTTGATAGCAAATATTTTGTTTAAACATCCCACACATCAGAATGTAAAAAAGAAAATTAAAGAAAATTAAACACATCAATAAAAGATAACTGGTCAAAAAGTGGTATGATGTAATTTGGGGTTCCATTATGACGCACGCTCCAAAACGTATATAAGCGCGGCATCGCTGATTGTCTTCATAAATCCATCAGACATAGACAACTGCATCAACGTGTTTGACAAAGTGCTACAGAAGGCCGAAAAGGCCATTGATAACGAGGCTGCCCGGCCCCAAGAGAGCCCTGCTGATACCATAAGCTGATACCATGGGCTCGTGGGGCCGTCCTGAAGAAGAAGAGAAAGAGGAAGAGGAAGAAGAAGAAAAGCGCAGGACCTGCGGATTTGAGCTCCGAATCCACTACCGCCTGCACTGGACCCAGCGCGTCTTCAGAGACCTCTGGGATAGGCCTGACTCCAGAGATCCGGCACATGATTAAGGACCTGCTGGACTCCGTTACAGCCACTTCCTCCTCCTGAAGATTGAGACCCCCACGGGAAAATGACCTGCAAGTGAAGAAACCAGAGATCTATGAACACTTTTCTTCAAGACAGAAACATAGTCTTACATTAGTTTAATTCAATTACATTCGTTTATTTCAATGACAGTGTATTTCAATTACATTCATTTATTTAAATACGTTTATTTCAATTACAGCTAACTTAGTATTTTTTATTAAACATAAACGTTGACTTACATTAGGTGTTTTAATTAATAAAGGCAGAAGCCTGATCTTGCATGCAAAACAAAAAAACGGAAACTATGAAAGAGTAAAAAAATCTCTCAATTATTTATATATATATATATATATATATATATACAGTACCAGTCGAAAGTTTGGACACACCTACTCATTCAAGGGTTTTTCTTTATTTTTACTATTTTCTGCATTGTAGAATAATAGTGAAGACACCAAAACTATGAAATAACACATATGGAATCATGTAGTAACCAAAAAAGTGTTATACAAATCGAAATATATTTTATATTTGAGATTCTTCAAAGTAGCCACCCTTTGCCTTGATGACAGCTTTGCACACTCTTGGCATTCTCTCAACCAGCTTCACCTGGAATGCTTTTCCAACAGTCTTGAAGGAGTTTCACATATGCTGAGCACTTGTTGGCTGCTTTTCCTTCACTCTGCGGTCCAACTCATCCCAAACCATCTCAATTGGGTTGACGTCGGGTGATTGTGGAGGCCAGGTCTTCTGATGCAGCACTCCATCACTCTCTTTCTTGTTCAAATATCCCTTACACAGCCTGGAGGTGTGTTTGGTCATTGTCCTGTTGAAAAACAAATGATAGTCCCACTAAGCGCAAACCAGCTGCCCACCCCCACACCATCACACCTCTTCCTCCATGCTTCATGGTGGGAACTACACATGCAGAGATCATCCGTTCACCTACTCTGCGTCTCACAAAGACACAGGGTTGGAACCAAAAATCTCATATTTTGACTCATCAGACCAAAGGACAGATTCCCACTGGTCTAATGTCCATTGTTCGTGTTTATTGGCCCAAGCAAGTCTCTTCTTCTTATTGGTGTCCTTTAGTAGTGGTTTCTTTGCAGCAATTCGACCATGATTGCCTGATTCATGCAGTCTCCTCTGAAAAGTTGATGTTGAGATTTGTCTGTTACTGGAACTCTGTGAAGCATTTATTTGGGCTGCAATTTCTGAGGCTGGTAACTCTAATGAACTTATCCTCTGCAGCAGAGGTGACTCTGGTTCTTCCATTCCTGTGGCGGTCCTCATGAGAGCCAGTTTCATCATAGTGCTTGATGGTTTTTGCGACTGCACTTGAAGAAACTTTAAAAGTTCTTGACATTTTCCGTATTGACTGACCTTCATGTCTTAAAGTAATGATGGACTGTTGTTTCTCTTTGCTTATTTGAGCTGTTCTTGCCATAATATGGACTTGATCTTTTACCAAATAGGGCTATCTTCTGTATACCACCCCTACCTTGTCACAACAAAACTGATTGGCTCAAACGCATTAAGAAGGAAAGAAATTCCACAAATAAACTTTTAACAAGGCACACCTGTTAATTGAAATGCATTCCAGGTGTCTTCCTCATGAAGCTAGTTGAGACAATGCCAAGAGTGTGCCAAGCTGTCATCAAGGCAAAGGGTGGCTATTTGAAATATAGCTTGATTTGTTTAGCACTTTTTTGGTTACTACATGATTCCATATGTGTTATTTCATAGTTTTGATGTCTTCACTATTACTCTACAATGTAGAAAAGATAAAGAAAAACCCTTGAATGAGTAGGTGTGTCCAAACTTTTGAGTGGTACTGTATATATAAAGGTTGTTATGATATTATTAGTTATGGTGTTATCTGAATGTAAAAGCAAACGTTCTGACCAGCATCAATATCATCAAAAGTAAAAAAGTAAATCATGACATTTTAGGACCAAGGCACATGATATTTGCATAATGATTGATATGGATGTTTGGATACATTGCACTGCATAATGAACAGACATTAAGGACTGTATTGTCAACTACTGGGCCACAGCTGTGTCAACAAGGATATGGGAGACAAGCGTGTGCCCCTGCCAAAGCAGCACTCAAACATCCACACTGGGACCAGAACAAACACTGACATGCTACGCAGGGCACCACACCACACCACACCACAGTACATAAGGGATTCAGACCGTATACCACGGGTATGACACATTTTTTATTTTTACTGCTCTAATTACGTTGGTAACCTGTTTATAACAGCAATAAGGCACCTCAGGGGTTTGTGGTATATGTCCAATATACCACGGCTAAGGGCTGTATCCAGGCACTCCGCTTTGCGTCGTGCATAAGAACAGCCCTTAGCCATGGTATATTGGCCATATACCACACCCCCTCGTGCCTTATTGCTTAAACTTAAACTTACTCTACGTCTACGATCATTGCTCAAGTTAAGTTTTATAGCCTCCCCAGCTAAACTGCCCTGCAATACTACAATTACCAACTTGAGAACACTGGCAAATTAGCCTAGTATTGCCCCATGACCCCTCTTCAGTTCCGGTGCCCCCTGTGTTTCCCACCTCTTTCCCAGATCGCTCCCATAGGATGTAGTCGTCAGTCTTTCTCTTTGACGAGAGAGTGAGTGCTACTCTCGGATGCCAGCTTGTTTACTCCGTAGCTGTGTATTTCTATGTGAACTGAAATCCTGTGTTTTTGAAGATGTGAATTAATTTATCCTTCTGAGCTGTTTGAGCACAGTGTCATGCTCGTGGATTGATGGCTCGGATCAAGGTGCAGCGTGGTAGGCGAACATTTTAATTCAATAAATGAACACAGACAAACAACAAAATACACACAAACGTAAAGTACTGCAGGCTACAAAGCTATTACACAAAACCAAGATCCCACAAACTAAGGTGGGAAAAAGGCTGCCTAAGTATGATCCCCAATCAGAGACAACGATAGACAGCTGCCTCTGATTGGGAAACATACCCGGCCAACAAAGAAATAGAAAAACTAGAATGCCCACCCAAATCACACCCTGACCTAACCAAATAGAGAAATAAAAGGGATCTCTAAGGTCAGGGCGTGACACACAGTCTGCGCTACACTTCCCACGCAAATGCAAGCAGGCAGGCAGGCAGGCAGGCAGGCGCGCGCGCACACACAACACACATACACACACACACACACACACACACACACACACACACACACACACACACACCACACACACACACCAAACGCATCACACACACAACACACACACACACACAACACACACACACACCTCTGAGTCTCCCCTTTATGGTTGATCCTCCTATTCTGGTCTCCCCTGGCCTTGACTTACAGTTTAATGGAGTGAGTTCACCACACTAAGAGGGAAAGAAGTCTGTGGTAGACAATGATTCATGTCAGAGATGGAGGTCTGAAGGCAGGTTAGGTGATTTCTCAGACAGATACAGAGACAGACTCATCACCCAGACTTACAGTAGAGCTTTATGGTATAGTGATCTTTGACCTTCCCTACTGAGCGCTAAATCCATTGGGATTCAGAGGAGATGGAGGTGCTCAGCAGATGGAGATTGTATCTGTCGGTTTGTTCTGTCTGCTGTCGTCGGTCTGCTGTCTGTCTGTCTGTCTGTCCTGTCCTTCTGTCTGTCTGTCGGTCTGTCTGTCTGTCTGTCTGTCCTGTCTGTCTGTCTGTCTGTCTGTCCCTCTCTCTCTCTCTTGTGCTCTCCTCTCTCCTCTCTCTCTCTCTCTCTTCTTCTCCTCATCTCTCTCTCTCTCTCTCTTCATCTCTCTCTCTCTCTCTCTCTCTCCCTCACTCCAATCTGGGTGTACAGGCTGTGTATAAGCCCGACAATGTGGATAATCTTCCAACGGACCATGAGAACATCAAAATGTATAGTAATTTGTGTCTCTCTACAGGTGATGTTGGTGGGAGACTCAGGTGTAGGGAAGACTTGCCTGCTGGTTCGCTTCAAGGATGGAGCATTCCTGGCCGGTAGCTTTATTTCTACTGTGGGCATTGACTTCAGGGTGAGTAGACACAACACTCACTCACTCACGCACACACACACACACACACACACACACACACACACACACACACACACACACACACACACACACACACACACACACACACACACACACACACACACACACACACACACACACACACACACACACACACACACACACATTATTGATTCTTTGAAGAATAGGGATATGTCCATTAAGAAATCCTGCAGGAATCAAGGAATCAAGTAAAGTGGGTTTGCCTTTTCTAAGATTTCACATGAGATCCAACTCATTTTTGAATCCATGAGGCTTTCAGATATTGATTCAAGGCTTCAATATTCTTTAAGTTCAGCCCTCCATTGTCATACGAATTATAGATATAATTCCTTTTGACCTTTTCTGGTTTACCATTCCATATAAACTAAAATATATTGACTTGAAACTGCTTAAAGAAAACCTTATCTGGTGATGGAAGAGATAGATCAACTGAGAGACAATTAAGGTGTTTATCAATGTCCCTCTGCCATATGAAGACAAAGTTTTACCATTCCCTTTACAATATCCTTCATTATTTCTAGAATGTGGATACCAAGCATGCCCACTAGGAAGAAGATGTTACAGTCAAGTTCTGATAATGGGGTTAGCTGCTCCTCAAAATAAAACATTATACAAAAATATTGTACTGCCCCTGTAATATCTGGTGGGGTGATAATAAATTAAGCCCTTCAAAGGAATGCAGTTTTATGATAGTTTTCTTATGATGATTTCTTAAAAAGCTTGTACACTTTTCCCCTTTTCCCATCCAAGCTGCCCTTGATCTGTAAATAATAATACTATTAATCCTTTCTGCATAAAGGCTCTCAAGCTCATGTTGTCTACTCTTTGTCTACTCGGAGGGTTTACTACTGTATACATTTATTTATTCAAGTAATTTATCTCTTTATTTAATACATTTTCCCTCCTAAGATATTTCTTTTTTTCCATGATGACCACTTGGGGCCGTAACTACGTATGAGGACACCGAGGTCCAGACCTCTGTAATCTTTTATAATTTATAATTTATAATTGTACACAATAAAGAAACTAAATGATGGGTCAACATCAAAATATTGCTCCCAGCGTTGATCAAAGATCAGAATTATTATATTCTTGATCTGACAGAGCTCTAATCGCGCCTGAATGAGTGGAATTATGAACAGTGGTTTGTTCGTTATGTTCACCTGTGTCCTCCGGATTTGCCTCCCGGATTTGCCTTTTTAGCAGCACATTCACCACTCTCTCAAACAGCTAACTCCGCCCTCTCGCGGCAAGTGAAACAAACTACCCCAGCTCGGAGTCGACTCAAGTACGCAACTAGAGACGATGCTGACAGTGTGTTTGCGAGATGCCGGACAAAAGGCAATTTTAAAACCGCCTCGCAACTCCTGCCATGTCTACAGACATCCCCCACACAAACAAAAACCGACTCTCGGAGAATGAGTGCACAACTGGTAAATAGTCGCTTATAGATATGTCAGGTGGCTAGCTGCCGGCAGAGACTTCTATTGCAGTAAAGGTGAAAGGCTCTGGCTAGTATTACTTAGCCAGCTACAAGGATGAAGTAAGAAGGTAACGTTAAATGGAGTCTACCTCAGGAGGATCTAAAAATAGACTGCTAAATTCTCATAATAACTTTGCTTTACGGAGGCTACTGAGACAGACAGTGATGTGGCGCTCAGTGGTGAGGCTGAGGCAGGCTGCAAAGCATGCAGGAGGAAGCAGAGGAGACAGACAGAGAGAGAGAGAGAGAGAGAGAGAGGAAGCAAGCAAAGAGAGATGTTAGTACAGTGGTTCCCAAACTTGGGGTTGGGGCCCCATGTGGGGGTCCCCTGAGAAAGTATGTACTAATCTTATGAAACAAGTTAGGAACAAAAAAAAAAAGATATGTTTCAATATGAACATCTCGACATGGCCTATCATCCCTACAGGCCTACATTAAAATGCAATCAAAATGCAAACAATATAGTTCTAAGAAATGTCATACGTTTTCGTTTATATCGGTGGTTGTTCATCTTATCTTGATCGCCCACTGGAGTTTATAGTTTACCCATTACCCATCTTTTTTTGTTACAACTACATCACTGATATTAATACAGAATCGTAAGTAATATTGTATAAATTCATGTGAATTCAATAATACGATCATCTGTGTGCTCCATTGATGTCTGTTTGTGCAGAGCTTGATTAGTAATGCCTAGGAATACAAATTTGAACAATATCTAATTTGAGAAAAGAGATATCAATATAAAGAGTTGAGGATTTTATGTAATTCATCATTACAACTGACTGAACAGTAGCTGATGCTACGTATCTGTGTGTATCAGGGGTATAACATTACAATTGTATAGCTAATAGGCTATGTGTTTGTAGATCGACTGAGGTGAAGGAACCTACAGCAGCCAAGGTGATAATGGCTGGGGTCATTTTTCCTTGTTTTTGCTGTTCTCCAAATAGCACTAAAAAAATAAAAATTGTATAGAAATGCAGTAAATGAGCTTCAACTTTCAAAAAAATTTCTGGGGGAGGGAGACTTACCCCTTCCGGACCTCACTAAAACTCAAACCCTGGTGACCATTGCTTATGGACACAAATACCCTTTTCCATCCAAACTGTATCGCCAGTTCCACACCCTGGGGTTTGTATGTTTTTCCATTTGCTTAAGCTACACTGAACAAAAATATAAACGCAACATGCAACAATTTCAAAGAGTTTACTAAATGACAGTTAATACAAGGAAATCAGTCAATTTAAATATATTCTTGAAGCCCTAATCAATGGATTTCACATGACTGGGAATACAGATATGCATATGTTGGTCACAAATACCTTTAAAAAAAGGGAAGGGCATGGATCAGAAAACCAGTCAGTATCTGGTGTGACCACCATTTGCCTCATGCAGCGCGACACATCTCCTTCGCATTGAGTTGATCAGGCTGTTGATTGTGGCCTGTGGAATGTTGTCCCACTCCTCTTCTATGGCTGTGTTGCTGGATATTGGCGGGTACTGGAGCACGCTGTCGTACATGTCGATCCAGAGCATCCCAGACATGCTCAAAGGGTGACATGTCTGGTGAGTATGCAGGCCATGGAAGCACTGGGACATTTTCCAGGAATGGTGTACAGATCCTTGCGACATGGAGCCGTCCGTTATCATACTGAAACATGAGGTGATGGTAGCGGATGAATGGCACAACAATGGGCCTCAGGATCTCGTCACGGTATCTCTATGCATTCAAATTTCCATTGATAAAATGCAATTGTGTTTGTTGCCCATACCATAACCTCACCGCCACCATGGGGCACTCTGTTCACAACGTTGACATCAGCAAACCACTCGCCCACACAACTTCATATACGCTGTCTGCCATCTGCCCAGTACAGTTGAAACTGGCATACAGCCATGAAGAGCACGCTGAAGTCGGTTACGACTGCAGTCAGGTCAAGACCCTGGTGAGGACGACAAGCACACAGATGAGCTTCCCTGAGACGGTTTCTGACAGTTTTTGCAGAAATCCTTTAGTTGTGCAAACCCACAGTTTCATCAGCTGTCCGGGTGGCTGGTCTCAAACGATCCCGCAGGTGTAGGAGCAGGATGTGGAGGTCCTGGGCTGGCGTGGTTACACGTGGTCTGAGGTTGTAAGGCCAGTTGGACGTACTGCCAAATTCTCGAAAACAACATTTGAGGCGGCTTATGGTCGAGAAATTAACATTCAACAGCTCTGGTGGACATTCCTGCAGTCAGCATGCCAATTGCACGCTCCCTCAAAACTTGAGACATCTATGGCATTGTATTGTTTGATAAAACTGCACATTTTAGAGTGGCCTTTTATTGTCCCCAGCACAAGGTGCACCTGTGTAATGACCGTGCTGTTTAATCAGCTTCTTGATATGCCACACCTGTCAGGTGGATCGATTATATTGGCAAAGGAGAAATGCTCACTAACAGGGATGTAAACACATTTGAGAGAAATAAGCTTTTTGTGCGTATGGAAAATGTCTGGGATCTTTTATTTTAGCTCATGAAACATGGGACCAACACTTTACATGTTGCGTTTATATTTTCGTTAAGACATCTGACCATACTAAAGCCAACTCGTACAGAAGCAGCACGGAACTGAACCTGTTTAAAGGCCAGACAGTTCAGTTCAGTTCAGTTCGGTACATACTACAAGTGGAAAAGAGGTCAACGTGAGACCGAAGCATAAAGGATACACACACAGTGACAGAGAGAACAAAAACACTCAATCTCTTGCTATTCTCCTCAATATCTGTTTATTAACTTTCTCTCCCTTCTTGATGAAACATAATGAGTAAAGTGAATGACTCACAGTCATTACATTTACATTTACATTTTAGTCATTTAGCAGACGCTCTTATCCAGAGCGACTTACAGGAGCAATTAGGGTTAAGTGCCTTGCTCAAGGGCACATTTACGTCATTTAGCAGACGCTCTTATCCAGAGCGACTCACCAATTGGTGCGTTCACCCTATAGCCAGTGGGATAACCACTTTACAATTTTGGGGGGGCGGGGGGGGGGGGTAGAAGGATTACTTTATCCTATCCCAGGTATTCCTTAAAGAGGTGGGGTTTCAAATGCCTCCGGAAGGTGGTGAGTGACTCCGCTGTCCTGGCGTCGTGAGGGAGCTTGTTCCACCATTGGGGTGCCAGAGCAGCGAACAGTTTTGACTGGGCTGAGCGGGAACTATGCTTCCGCAGAGGAAGGGGAGCCAGCAGGCCAGAGGTGGATGAACGCAATGCCCTCGTTTGGGTGTAGGGACTGATCAGAGCCTGAAGGTACGGAGGTGCCGTTCCCCTCACAGCTCCGTAGGCAAGCACCATGGTCTTGTAGCAGATGCGAGCTTCAACTGGAAGCCAGTGGAGTGTGCGGAGGAGGGGGGTGACGTGAGAGAACTTGGGAAGGTTGAACACCAGACGGGCTGCGGCATTCTGGATGAGTTGTAGGGGTTTAATGGCACAGGCAGGGAGGCCAGCCAACAGCGAGTTGCAGTAGTCCAGACGGGAGATGACAAGTGCCTGGATTAGGACCTGTGCCGCTTCCTGTGTTAGGCAGGGTCGTACTCTCCGAATGTTGTAGAGCATGAACCTGCAGGAGCGGGTCACCGCCTTGATGTTGGCGGAGAACGACAGGGTGTTGTCCAGGGTCACGCCTAGGCTCTTCGCACTCTGGGAGGAGGACACAGCGGAGTTGTCAACCGTGATGGCGAGATCATGGAACGGGCAGTCCTTCCCCGGGAGGAAGAGCAGCTCCGTCTTGCCAGGGTTCAGCTTGAGGTGGTGATCCGTCATCCATACTGATATGTCTGCCAGACATGCAGAGATGCGATTCGCCACCTGGTTATCAGAAGGGGGAAAGGAGAAGATTAGTTGTGTATCGTCAGCGTAGCAGTGATAGGAGAGGCCATGTGAGGATATGACAGAGCCAAGTGACTTGGTGTATAGGGAGAAAAGGAGAGGGCCTAGGACTGAGCCCTGGGGGACACCAGTGGTGAGAGCACGTGGTGCGGAGACAGCTTCTCGCCACGCCACTTGGTAGGAGCGACCGGTCAGGTAGGACGCAATCCAGGAGTGAGCCGCGCCGGAGATGCCCAGCTCGGAGAGGGTGGAGAGGAGGATCTGATGGTTCACAGTATCAAAGGCAGCAGACAGGTCTAGAAGGACAAGAGCAGAGGAGAGAGAGTTAGCTTTAGCAGTGCGGAGAGCCTCCGTGACACAGAGAAGAGCAATCTCAGTTGAATGACCAGTCCTGAAACCTGACTGGTTTGGATCAAGAAGGTCATTCTGAGAGAGATAGCAAGAGAGTTGGCTAAAGACGGCACGCTCAATAGTTTTGGAAAGAAAAGAAAGAAGGGATACTGGTCTGTAGTTGTTGACATCAGTGGGATCGAGTGTTGGTTTCTTGAGAAGGGGAGCAACTCTCGCTCTCTTGAAGACGGAAGGGACATGGCCAGCGGTCAAGGATGAGTTGATCAGCGAGGTGAGGTAGGGGAGAAGGTCACCGGAGATGGTCTGGAGAAGAGAGGAGGGGATGGGGTCAAGCGGGCAGGTTGTTGGGCGGCCTGCAGTCACAAGTCGCCGGATTTTATCTGGAGAGAGAGGGGAGAAAGAAGTCAAAGCATAGGGTAGGGCAGTGTGAGTAGGACCAGCAGTGTCATTAGACTTAACAAACGAGGATCGAATGTCGTCAACCTTCTTTTCAAAGTGGTTGACGAAGTCATCCACAGAGAGAGAGGAGGGGGGGGGCGGGGGGGGGGGGGGGGGGGGGGGGGGGGATTCAGGAGGGAGGAAAATGTGGCAAAGAGCTTCCTAGGGTTAGAGGCAGATGCTTGGAATTTAGAGTGGTAGAAAGTGGCCTTAGCAGCAGAAACAGATGAAGAAAATGTAGAGAGGAGGGAGTGAAAAGATGCCAGGTCGGCAGGGAGTTTAGTTTTCTTCCATTTCCGCTCCGCTGCCCGGAGCTCTGTTCTGTGAGCTCGCAGACAATTTCATGCCCATGATAACACTCAAAAACTATATTTATTCTGTGTTTACGCAGGGAGCACAATGATGCCATTAGGATATGAGGAAGGCGGCATGGGCGGCTAGTTGATTTGATTTATCTTTCCATTCATTGGCAGAGGGAATCCTGGGTTTATTTTTGATATCAGTCATCGTCGGTATGTCTCAGGAGTGTGTTTGCTCATGTGTGGGAGCTATTAGACTGGAGTTTACCATTCCGTTTCCTTCCTTCTCCTCTGAGGGAAAGAGAGGGAGAGGGAGAGGGAGAGGGAGAGGGAGAGATCGATGGGTGTTTGTGTTTCAAACACTATGTTAGAGAGTGAAGAGAAAGAGGTAATGGGAGAAAGAGTGTGAGATAATGAAAGATTGGCTGTGCTAAAATACAAAACAATGCACTGTATTAGGAGGTAGAGAGGGAGAGGGAGAGAGAGCCCTTAAAGCCAATAAAGCCCTTAAATTGAATTGAGAGAGAGAGAGAGAGAGAGAGAGAGAGAGAGAGAGAGAGAGAGAGAGAGAGAGAGAGAGAGAGAGAGAGAGAGAGAGAGAGAGAGAGAGAGAGAGATGAGAGTCCAATTTAGCTGAGCTGTGTGGTTTGGAGTGGCCCTCTTTCAGCTCCCCCTTCTGAGCAGATGGCCTATCTCTCTCTCTCTCTCTCTCTCTCTCTCTCTCTCTCTCTCTCTCTCTCTCTCTCTCTCCCTCTCTCTCTCTCTCTCTACCTCTCTCTCTACCTCTCTCTCTACCTCTCTCTCTACCTCTCCTCTACCTCCCCTGTACTTCCCCTCCCCTCCCCTCTCCTCTCCTCTCTCCCAGCCCCACAGCCTCTAGTGCTGTAACTCCCAGCAGCAGCAGTACACCAGTTAATCATTAAAGGAGCGGTGCGGTCAGCGAGGAGGCCGTTGGAGCCACAACACCTCTTCTGTGTGTTGTTTAGCGTGACAGGACTCACTGACAAGTGACCACACAGGGACATGGGTAATTGCAATGAGGCAATCTGAGGTGTTGTGTGCACGATTAGAGCAAGCTCTTAACTTGCTCTGCTGGGAGGAGAGGTGGAGATGGAGATTGGAAAAGGATTGAAAACAAATTGCTCATTTTAAAGTTTGTGTTTATCTCTGAAGAATAGGGTGCTGTTGAATCATTTTCGTATCAATAAATACGAAATCACACTCCTAATGTTACTGTAGAAATTAAATATGTATTTAAAGATTTATTCATGGTTTTAACATTAAACTCTCCTGGCCTGGAGGTTGGAATGACACATGGAGAGGGTTTTTTAATGAAAAATGTGGCTTTTATTGAGGCCATTAGAGTACCTCAAACATGTCCTGTCAGCAAAGACTTCAACATATAGGCTGTTATCTAAAGAAAAGGATGGTGGTTATTGGTAGTTCAAGGCTGTTGTTTATGTTGTGTTTACTATTTTCTAACAAAGCCTGTGCTATAATTAAGCAATAAGGCCCGAGGAGGTGTGGTATATGGCCAATATACCACGGCAAAGGGCTGTTCTTTTGCTCGACGCAATGCTGAGTGCCTGGACACAGCCCTTAGCCGTGGTATATTGGCCATTGATCACAAACCCCAGAGGTGCCTTATTGCTATTATAAACTGGTTACCAATGTAATTAGAGCAGTAAAAATAAACGTTTTGTCATACCCGTGGTATACGGTCTGATATACCATGGCTTTCAGCCAATCAGCATTCAGAGCTTGAACCACCCAGTTTATAAATGGGTTTAATACATATTGTAAAAGTGCAGCACATTCATACAAGTCTCAGGACATAAAAATGTCAGCCGAGAAAATATGTGGCTGTAATAAACAGGTTATAATAATAATAAGCTGGTTAATGCTGTGTTTGCATGTTGGCATATTCATGCTTGCCTTTCACACACATGTATGTCCAAGCGTACGTACGCACACACACACACACACACACAATGGTAAGGAGACAGGTGGATTAAAAGGTAAATAGTGTGTGTGGGGGGGGGGGGGGGTGTTATCTGCATGCACATGCATGCGTACACACACACATGCATGAACCCAAAACCCACACACATTCACATACACTACATACGCACACACACATAACACACACGCATACCGACACAACACAAACACAAACACACACACATAACACACACACGCACACCGGCACAACACAAAGACACATTCACACACACACGCACACATCAGTAACGTTTAAGATGAGGGAGGGCGATTATTTTTAAAATAATAATGCCCTTATTTCTATTACAGCATATTGGGATGACTGTCATTCATATTCCATTCACCCAGCTCATTGTAACATCGATAGGTTTAGGCTACTACATGATACTACAATTTTCTCTATACCCATCATGAGGTTGCTACAACCTATCCTAGTGCATCTAGTTCAGAAGGTGGAAATTGTACATACAATATATATATACTAAATTATGTGGACACCCCTTCAAATTAGTGGATTTGTCTATTTCAGCCACACCCGTTGTTGACAGGTGTATGACATCGAGCATACAGCCATGCAATCTCCATAGACAAACATTGGCAGTAGAATGGCCTTACTGAAGAGCTCAGTGACTTTCAACGTGGCACAGTCATAGGATGCCACCATTCCAACAAGTCAGTTCGTCAAATTTCTGCCCTGCTAGAGTTACCCCGGTCAACTGTTAGTGCTGTTATTGTGAAGTGAAAACATCTAGGCCACACAAGCTCACAGAACGGGACCACCGAGTGCTGAAGCTCCTAGCGCGTAAAAAACATCTGTCCTTGGTTGCAACATCCACTATTGAGTTCCAAACTGCCACTGGAAGCAACGTCAGCACAATAACTGTTTGTCGGAAGCTTCATGAATTGGGTTTCCATGGCTGAGCAGCCGCACACAAGCCTAAGATCACCATGCGCAATGCCAAGCGTCGGCTGGAGTGGTGTAAAGCTCACTGCCATTGGACTCTGGAGCAGTGGAAACGCGTTCTCTGGAGTGATGAATCACGCTTCACTATCTGGCAGTCCGACAGACAAATCTGGGTTTGGCGGATGCAAGGAGAACGCTACCTGCCCGAATGCATAGTGTCAACTGTAAAGTTTGGTGTAGGAGGAATAATGGTCTGTGGCTGTTTTTCATGGTTCGGGCTAGGGCCCTTAGTTCCAGGGAAGGGAAATCTTAATGCTACAGTATAATGACATTCTAGATGATTCTGTGCTTCCAACTTTGTGGTAACAGTTTGGGGAAGGCCCTTTCCTATTTCAGTATGACAATGCCCCCATGCACAAAGCAAGGTTCATACAGAAATGGTTTGTCAATATCGGTGCGGAAGAACTTGACTGGGCTGCACAGAACCCTGACCTCAACCCCATCAAACACATTTGGGATGAATTGGAATGCCGACTGCAAGCCAGGCTATTCGCCTAACATCAGTGCTCGGCCTCACTAATGCTCTTGTGGCTGAATGGAAACAAGTCCCCGCAGCAATGTTCCAACATCTAGTGGAAAGCCTTTCCAGAAGAGTGGAGGCTGTTATAGCAGTCCACAATACTTTTGGTCATGTAGTGAATGTCTATGTCTGGTCATCACAAAAACGTATGCAAATGATCTGTAACCAATGCTGTAAAACGTTCCGCAAGGTGGAGATTTAATCTCACTTTTTATTTATTTCTGTAATCAATTCAGGTCTGATTTTCATGAATTTATCCTCCTCAACAAAGAGTCTGTGAATGATAATAGATTCCTGTGGGATGCCATTAAAGGGTTCATTAGAAACAATACAATACCATTTGCTTCAGGATTGAACAAGTCTCAACTAAAAAATAATACCGAACTGGAGTCCACTTTATCCTTACTAACACGTCAACAGCAGAACAGTTTCTCTGCATATAAGGAGAGAGAATTATTAACCATCAAATCTGAGTTAAATTCCTTACTCAGATTAAGAGCATAATTTCTAATTCACAGAGTCAGACAGACTGATTATCTGGACGGTCAGCCTAGCTTCCACTCAGCTAGTAAATTACGCAATGATGATAGTCTTGCTGACATTGTTTCCATTCAGTCTGACGATGGTGTTCTCTTGCATGATTCACCATCAATCAATTTACAATTTAAAAATTTCTATAAAAAGTTATACAGTTCTGAAGTACAAAATACCTCAGACAGCATGACACCCTCCTCCGATGATGCACACTCTCTAGATGCACCTGTAACGCTTAATGAACTGCATGATGCATTGAAAGACATGAACCGAGGTAAATCCTCTGGATGGGATAGCATCCCACGGGAATTCTATTTCACCGTTTGGTCTGAACTAGGCTTGATTATTATTGGAAATGGTACAAACATCTATTCAAATGGGCTTTTTCCATAGAGATGTTAATACTGTAATCATTTCTCTGTTACATAATAAAGGTAAAGACCCAACTCTCTGTTCAGGTCATAGGCCTCTCTACCTCATTAACGGTGACATGAAATTGCCAAGGTTCCAGCCAAATGTCTTGAAACCATTTTACCCAAACTATTTCATCCTGATCAAACAGGTTTTATCAAACATAGATTGGGGTCAGACAATCAGATAGGTCTCCTACATATAATACACATTACACCCACAATTGTGTCAAGTTGGCTGGATGACCTTTGGGTGGTGGACCATTCTTGATACACACAGGAAACTGTTGAGCGTGAAAAATCCAGCAGCGTTGCAGTTCTTGACACACTCAAACTGGTGCGCCTGGCACCTACTAGCATAACCCGTTCAAAGGCACTTATATATTTTGTCTTGCCCATTCACCCTCTGAATGGCACACATACACAATCCATGTCTCAATTTTCTCAAGGCTTAAAAATTGTTATTTAACCTGTCTCCTCCCCTTCATCTACACTGATTGAAGTGGATTTAACAGGTGACATCAATAAGGAATCATAGCTTTCACCTGGATTCACCTGGTCAGTCTATGTCATGGAAAGAGCAGGTGTTCCTAATGTTTTGTACACTCAGTGTAGTTGACCTTGTCACTTGGTTTTTGCTTTAGTCAATATCTCCCTTTGAATCTAACATGAGACCAAATGTCCCTAGTTCATGTTGTATATGCCTTTTTTTCTTGAAATGTTCCCTCCCTGGTGGTGCAGCTGTCAGCTTAGCCTTGTGTTAATGCTAACACCAAACCAGTGTGGCATTTTCCCTTATCGGCCAGAAAAAACAGAGAGAGTACAAAATTAAAGACAGCCTCTGATCTAGGATCAGAAGAGCGACCAGGCGAGCAGCAGGGCTTATAGTCAGCCTTATCTTTATTAGACCTCTGCTACGGCAGTTACTGTCTGTTTGTCCTGTCTGTCTGTCTCTCCTGAATGTCCTGTCTGTCCTGTCTGTCTGAGTTATCTCAGTGAGAAGATGGACAGACTGTTCCTGCTCTAGTTGCATTGTTCTGTAGCCTGGTCTCAGATCGGTGTGTGTTGTCTTGACAACTCTTTTGGTCATTCATTGTCACACTTGTCTGTTTGTCTGGAACCTGGTTAATTGTTGTCTTTAGGAAAGGAGAGAGAGAGCTGTAAACAATATAATTGCAGACATATAGCTACAGATTAGACTTGATTATGTATTCTCAAACAAAGGCTACTCATTTTCTACACACTGAGGGATTGTGAATGTTCATTTCACATACAAATAGGTTAGTTGTTCTCAAGCCTCACACATGAGGGGGAGCTTTGGAAGCCTGAGATGTGTGAGGAAAACACACTACCAGATCACGATAGGGAAAATGCCAGAACATTGAGATAATCAAGACCAAGGTTTCACTATGTTTGCACTTTCCCCCTTTCCATATTTGTTATTCTTCTGA